AAGCTCCCACAGAACAAGGATTTTAGTTTAACTTTCAGTAGCCCTTAAGGTTTCAATGCTGCTATTAATTTCTCCTTGTTACAGCAAAACGCTCAAGTTCTCTTTCTCTCTCTCGCTCTCAGATGTCCTTTACTCCTGGATTGGAGAACTGCATGAGAGACAATTTATTTTACTGAATTTGCCTTTGCTAAGGATGCGTTTACGGGATGTTACTATATTTGAACAGCTGCTGTTTAACAGTTAAATAATCTATTATTCTGTTAAGCTTTCCAATAGAGTTGTTATTCAAATCCTTCTTTCTTTCGTTTGTATTCTTACACGATAGTTAAAACAAAACTCTTGGCAAAGATTTGTAGCTCAGGTTGTGGGTAAGGTTGTTGACTTGCTCAACGAACTGGCTTGTTTTCGTTCAGACTTTTCGTCACCATGCTAGGTGACATCATCAGTGGAGCCTCCGATGAAGTAGACTCTGCTTGGAATTTATACTGTTATAGGAGTGTCACTCACCATAACGGACCAAACAGTATAAATTCCAAGTGGAGTAGAATAACATCACTTCATCAGAGGCTCCACTGATGACATCACCTAGCATGGTGATGAAACATCTGAACGAAAACAAGCCAGCTCGGCAAGCAAGTCAACAACCTCATATTTAAAACAAAGTGTGTTTTGCTTCAAGCTAGCTGTTTGATCAATCGAATTGCATCCAGAACACAACGCCTTACACTTGCCTTTAAAACTAAGAAAAAGTTGGTGTCTAGCCATCTTCTTAATATATTTTGAGGGGGTTTTGGTCTGGTCCATAACAATTAGCACTGATAGAAGATTGGCTAGCTAAAAGGAAACGTCATAAATGGATCATTTTCTAGTCAACAAGGTATAATGAGAGATATGTCACAGGGATCAGTGCTGAGGCCTCAACCATCAACAAGTATATAAATTATTTGATGAAAGCAGCTAAGGTAGGGTTCCTACTTCCTTTCTCCAAGTCGCTAACATATTAAACAGTTGCAGTCCCAGCACGGATCTCTGTGGAATGCCACAGGTCACTAGTTGGCAACCTGAAAGTGAACCCTTTTATGGAATCCCTTCAGTTTTATCCCCACTTGCTATTTCCTGCCCATTAGTCAATTCTCTACCCATACCAAAATACTGCCTCCAACTCAGTGGGCTTTTATCTTATGACCTGACCTGTTGTGAGGTGCCTTGCAGAATAAATTCGGCAAGTCCAAATACAATACATCTACTGATTCCCCTCTATCCACTTAGGTTGAAACTTCCTTGAAAAACTCTAATACGTTAGTCAGACACGATATCCCTTTCATGAACACATGCTGACTCAGTTTGATTAGATTATGATTTGCTTGATATATATTTCCTTGATAATTGATTCCAATATTATTCCAGCAGTAGATTCCAACAATGATCAGTCAATAGTTATCTGCTTTTTTGAATAGGGATGGCACATTGACAATTTTCCAATCCTCTGATACTACTTCAGAATCAAATGATTTTTGGAAAATTGCAACCAATGTATCCACTATTTCTGTAACTACTTCTTGGATCCTAGGGCACTTACCTGCCTTTAGTTTGTTTAATACTACTTCTTTAGTGATGGTGATGGTACTTAGTTCTGCTCCATTATTTTTTAATCTTAACGGAATGTTTGAAGTATATTTCATCGTAAGGACGGATGCAAAATAACTCCTCTGCAATTTCTTTGTGCTCCAAGACCATCTCTCAGTTTTTATGTCCCTCATCGTATGCCCATGTAGTTTATTTTCTGTCTTTATTAGCTTTTTAGCCCTCCTTTGCTGGATTTTGAACCGATCCCAGTCTTTGGGGCTGTCAGTGACTTTAGCCTCCTACATACTTTTTCTTTCAATTTAACACTCTCCTTCATTTCCTCGGCCAGCCATGTTTGGTTTATCCCTCTTAGAATCTTTCTTCCTTATTGGGATATATTTTCATGGAGAGTCAGGAATTACCTCCTTAAAATGGCCGTCACTGCTTGCTTACTGTCATTCCCGTTAATCCACCTAGATCACTCTAGCTGTTTCTGAAGGGATCTTTTACTCTGACATCATTCATTACACCTGCCTCATCACCCATCACCTGATCCAAAATAGCCTGATCTCCGGTTGTATCTACAAAATATTATGGAGTTGTTGGTTGGTTCGCCAAGCTGACCGGTTTTTGTGCAAACGTTTCGTCTCTCTTCTAGGTGACATGGTCACTGCTGTGGAGCCTCCGCTAAAGCACTGTTGTTTTGTCCCACTCTGCTGTGGTGAGTGGTCTTGCTTCCGGTTATGTGCCATAGTGGTATGCAGATGGGGTCTATTTCAACACATTTGTTAATTGTGTTGGTGGTTGAAAACCAGGCCTCCAGGAATTCTTGTGCTTGTCTTTGTCTCGCTTGTCCTAGTACTGTAATTTTGTTCCAGTCAAATTGATGTCCTTCTATGTTGGAGTATATTGAAACGAGGGAGAATTGGTTGTGGAGATAGTAGGAACTGCAGATGCTGGAGAATCTGAGATAACATGGTGTAGAGCTGGATGAACACAGCAGGCCAAGCAGCATCAGAGGAGCAGGAA